GGGGGGGGGGGGGGGGATTCCTGTGAAGGAGGAGCTGTTGACAGGTCACGGATCGTTCTTGATAAGCACAGGTAAGTTGGGTGAAACATGCAGAGAGAACGGGCGAAGCGACAACGAAAACAGATCATGGTCAAAGTAAGGCTACCTTGTGCAAGCGCATGGTACACAAAAGTGAAGCGGCGTTCCAAGTTGTTCTTCTGCTAGAAAGCAGAGCGAGGACGACCGCACGTGCGTCATCGCTCAAGCAACACAATCCCAACCCGAAATACAAACGAGAGCAGAGAAACTAGAACGATCGACACCATTTCCGACTGCGAAGACAATGGTTCAAAGTTGACGCTGCGAGCTCGCAAAACGCACACACCACTCACACTCTCACACACACCTCCACGGGGTCGATAACCTCGACGTCCATCCCGGCGACCTTGGTCTTGCCAACAACGTCCAGGTTCACATCGGGCGTGCCCTCCACCGTGCGGTACGACTTGAGCTCCAACCTGCACGCGAGCACCCAGCAGCACAAGGCCACGCGCATCCACGCACGCACGCACCCATCAACACCGTTCCAATCACAAGTAGCATTCGCTGGCAAGGGCTCCCAATATTACACCGCGAAATCCCACAAACTCCTACTATAATATTTTACAAACACAAGCGACCAAGGCACGGGACTAGACGTCCTCGGTGCTCTGTTGGTGTGCGCGCTTGGCAGGGCAAGGCCGGGCGAGAGGGGTGTGTTTTTTTTACGCTCAAGCAGAGGCCTCTGCCACAGGTGTCTCGCAAGAGAACAGCCCGGGCCTCGATCGCCAAAACCACATCTATCTATCGACGAGAGACAGATACGTGAAAGGAGCGTGTGTGCCGGCGTGTGCGGGGGGTACACGCTACGACCAGGTGGATAAAACAAAGGCTTCCCCTTCGCGTCTACACAACTGAATTACGGAAGGAGTTGCATGAAATTCGAGTGTCCAACATGTCCCAACAAGCAAGGGTCATCGTTGATTCGCGTTTTCCCCCCGCTCTTGTGTATGATTCATCTCTCTCTCTCTCTCTCTCTCTCTCTCTCTCTCTCTCTCTCACGTGCGGGCGTAGACGGCGTCGGTGATAACCTCGGTGGCCGGACTGCCGCTGGCGGTGTTGAACTTGATGCCGAAGTCTTCGTCGGGTCCTCCAGGGTTGTGGCTTTGGCGTAGCAGCACCGGGGGGCGAGGTGTGTATTGACGAGGAGACATTGAGCGCGCGCGGG